GAGACTTTAGTCTTTGCAACTTTACAGATCTTCTTTATGCACCAAGAGCTTGTAACACTCCAAAGAGAGGAAACATTGAAATCGCATCATATGACCCCTTTAAGCAGCACAAGTGTTTTCATCATTAATCATGTTTCTTGAGCGTTAAATTAACATGTTAGGATGATTTCTGGGATCAAGTCAGACTGAAGACTGGAGTAATGGCTGCTAAAATTTTAGCTTTGCCGTCACAGGAATAAATGACATTTTAAAATATATAAAATAGAAAAAAATATATTTTTAATAGTAATATTTCACAATATACCCGTTTTATACCGTTTTTTTTTTTTTTTTAAATGAATGCAGCCTCCATGATCATTTTCATGACTTGTTAAAAATATAAAGGAATTACTATTCTTGGTTAAGCTGGTATTCATAATAAAACATTCCAAAATAACTCTTTAAAGTAATAGGTAAGGATTCATTGGTTGCATTCTTAAACCAGTCAAATTCAACTCTGATCATTCAGGTGACAAAAATTGGTACCGAGCTGTTGTGTTGGAGGTAACAAGCAAGCATGCGCATGTAATTTATGCCGATTATGGGAACATGGAGACAGTCCCTGTCTCCAGTATCCTTCCCATCACCAAAGAACTTCTCCAGCATCCATTCCAGATTGTCAGATGTGCACTGGCAGGTAAGCTTACCACCTGAACTCATCTACGTGTACAAATTATTGCCAATGTTAAAACCCTTGTTTCCCTCTTTCCCTTCACAGGTAAAGAGAACTTCCCTATAGTGTGGCCCACTGACGTTTTGGAACTCTTTGGGATTCAGTTGAGCGGGGGCGTCCTGGCATCTCTGCAGGGCTTTGATGGGACCTCCAACCTGCTAACCCTTACCCAGCAGTCTGGTCAGGCTGACAGAGACATTAATTCTATTATCCTTGGAGCTCTGCAGAAAGGACAAAGCAAGGCTAACTCGAAGCCACCTGCCATTGTTGTTGAGGAAAAAAAGGATGTAGATCAGAGGAAGACACAAACTGTCAGCTCGATCAAGCCCGCAGATCATCCTCAATCTGCAAACGTTAAGAAACCTCACCTGGAAGATCAAGCCCCACCTTTAAGTGCCAGCTGCAGGCTTGAGGAACCAGGTGAGGAATTAAACATTGAGCAGAATTCATGTTGTCAAGATGTGTATTAATGTAGGTATTTACAGGGCTTGTGCAGGAATTTGCCCTGGATCTTTAGCAATGAAATTGTGATGCACAGGTGCTGTTCCACCTGGTGTTCTCAGCTGTAACGCAAAGGTGTTATTTAAAAGGAGCCTTGTCATCATATCCAGGGGAGCAGTTGTCAAACGTTTATGTCTGATTTCAGAAAACATGTCCAAGACAATGACTGCAGTGGAATGCACTGAGCCGCACAATATTATAAGCACAAAAAGCGGCAATGGTGGGTATTATTTTCATTTCTGAGACTGAAACTTATAAAAGATTGAGCATTGTAAAAATAGTGACGGGCAATCAATGACAGTCAAATATTCTGAGTGGTTTAGACTAGTGCATGACCAACTGCTAGTTTCTTCTTAAGTGGCAACCTGATATACTCGTATGAGCTTTAAAATACAAATGTACACTTTTGTCAATTTATCTACATTAGTTTTTTTTTGTTTTTTTTCCTCTTCCAGGTCCTCACACATGCAGCTGTCTTGAGCTGAAACAAAAGGTTGGGAAATCTGCAAACACAACTCGTGACTTTTTTATTTTTTTTAGAAAGCAAATGCAAGCCAATATTCATAGTTGACATACACAGGACTGTAATTTATTTAGCTTTTAAATGTCTTTCTATCTTTCAGATTGACCACATCGAGAAATTGATTCTCCTCCTTGTGAAACAAATTGGTGGAACCAAATAGTAACCCATCAAGATCTTCGGTGTCGAGTTCAAAACAAATGGCCACTGCCAGTTTTCTTTTCTTCAGTTTTTTTTTGAGTTAATGTATCAGTGATGTCAAACCATGTTTGTAGTCTTTAAGTCAGCACTTGATAAAATTGATTTTATTCTTAGAAAGGCATGGGTATTTTATTTTTCTTATATTGAACCAACATTATTGTTGCTGGTGTTTTATTACATATAATGTTCATGCTTTTATTTCTCGAGCCGTGAACTATTAACCGTGAATTATGCAGCACTGCCATTCAGTTTCTACATGGTCAGTTTTTTGTTTATCAAAGGCCAGTTTTGTTTGTCTTGATTAAAAAAAAAAACAAGTTTGTTTGAAGTCTTTTTATTTCTTTATAGAATATCCAGAATGCTCATTTATTTTTTTATTGGTCATGCTAGCCTTTAAAAATGTCAGGATTTAGCAAAGGAGCAAACCTTTTTACATTTACATTTAGTCATTTAGCAGACGCTTTTATCCAAAGCGACTTACAAATGACGAACATTAAATGAGATTTTTCACACAGTTTTTCACAATTTAGTGTCATTCACTGACCCACGTTTCAAACTAGTAGGACTGACTTTCTTCTGTGGAACGCAGTCTAGCCACAGTTATGGAATACCTGCCTCAATTCACCATTTGCTTTTATTGTATGAAGTAAGATGCTATGAACTATTCTTCGAACTATTCTTAAGTTTTCCATGGAAGAAACACATGCAATTTGAATTTTTTGTTGAATTATTGTAATAACTATTTTGAGACAATTTGGGTCTTGGCTTGATTTAAAAAAAAAGTCTGCGGAGTGAGTTGAATGAGGATGAAGTCGGTACGGAAGTAGAGCAGAGCACCCTCTCCTGTTCACAACTGGGTTACAACACTGGAGACTTGACACTTCAGTACCTGCGGCGAGGACGGGACGGTGAGGTGAGTCATTTACTCGTGAACTATCTGTTTTTAATGTGTCCAACTTGAAATATAATTGTTTGAAGATTTCATTGAGCTAAAGTTTGTCGTTATTCCGAAACTTAAAGCGTAAAAATGGACTGCAGCGTCGCAGGAAATCTAACCCTAATTCAAGAATGTCTCGCGCGTTATTGTGCTGTATCTTAATAAGTTTAATTTTTGGCCTGAAGTTAACGTAGCGAAAAATTTTCGATTAATTTCCCTGGATTAAATAGACCTCATTGCTTAAAACCTTGCAGAAAAATATTTAGTCGTGTTGCTTGGAAACAAAATTGTGCGACAATAGGATTAATCAACTGTTTTATTTCAAGATTTGTAAAACTGGTTAAATACCTCAACTGTTTAAACAGAATACAAAACGAAAAGAACAATGTGTATTTTATTAGACTACAAATACAAATGGGTTGCCACAAATTAGTTTTAATAAGTGAGCCTTAAATAGGGAGTAACTCAAAAGGAGCCAACTAAATGTGTCCTTTCATCCTCAGCTTCTCTTCTCATTTACTGTCGCTCCTGTGATTGTAGGAGAGTCTAGTGTTGCTCAGGTCATTTGCTCCCTACTTGGGGATCAAGCAGCTGCATACACCTGTGTCTTGTCCATTAACAAGCATTGCCCTTTAAGCTCTGCAATGTCAGATAAATATATTTAGCATATTTAAAAATATCATACAATGGTAGTTTATTACTCTAAATGATATTAAATGGTTTTCAGTGGATTTCAGGAAGACATGACTATCTAGTTATTAAAGGTAGGTCGTTTTCAAACGGGTCCAATGGCTGCATGGAGAGTGTGGAAAAGTTTATAGAAAAAATTTAGAAATTGATCAAATTTATTGAAATGAAAAACAAAATCTTAAGATAAAAGTTAAATAAAAATATATAGCTACCTTTTCAAATTTGAAGAGGGGGTTGCTCACACAAGGATGATTGTATTTGGGGGTCCATAGCATCTAAAAAAAATTGAAAAGCTCTTGAGTTAAGGCATCTCAGCTTAGGAGTTGTTAATAGATAAAGTAGGAAATAATGAAAAGTGAAAGCTTAGAACAGTGAGGAATGTATGAAATTGGGAATAAAGAAGAATTAGGAGAGCAAAGCCAGTACTCTTACTGGGTTCCTTGGCCCTAAACGGCTCCACTTGTTACACAGACCGAGATGGGTTGTTAGTCAAGGTTATCGTATGGCAGGTTTGTGCGGTGCTCTAATGGCGCTTTTCCAGATGATTATCAGCCTCAAAGAAGGTTCTTTTAAATGGCACCTGAACAAGTGCTGTCTGCTTCCTGATGTTCATTCACAGGCAGGAAATGCTCCTTATCAGGCTGAGATTTTATCAGATTCCCCCATAAAGAGTCCTGTGTGGCTAAATTGTCCAAAAGTCTCTCTCTCAGTTTGCTGGATTTGATTCTTTACAGAACAGATTCTATCTTTAAGAATGTCAGGTGGCATTCCTAAAGTTTCCTCTCTTGAGTGGTGCTCTGTGGGTATCTTTAGAAGTCCAACCGTGAGTGAGACGATCAAAGAGTGACTTCACGGGTCAGAATTGCTTCAATACTCACTTCATTTCATTCCTAAACTGATAACCACAACCTTTAAAATGGCTCTTAACACCTGGAACCTGACCAATCAGATACAACAGTGCAGACATAACACACACACACATTTTGCTTGTCTCTCAAACACATTTAAAGAAAAGATTCCACTGAATGCACACTAGCATGAATAGAATTATACTGTTATCTGCTTTTATCAACTACAAAGACTACATTCAGGAAGGTTAGTAAACTTGAAAAAGCCATGATGTGTGTTAGTAGGTGTCTTTAAGTTGCGTTATGGATGTCTATGATTCCTTTGATTTCTGTAAAACTTGTACTCAACAGGTACAGAAGTCCAGGGCTTGATATGATTTAAAAAAAAAAAAAAGGTTTTTGAAAGAAGCCTCTTATGCTCACCAAGGCTGCATTATTGCATTAAAAAAACAGCAATATTTGTGATTTTAAATAATTGTTTTCTATTTCAGTATATTTTAAAAATGTAATTTATTCCTGTGATGGCAAAGCTGAATTTTCAGTGGCCATTCCTCCAGTCTATAGTGTCACATGATACTTCAGAAATCATTCTAATATGCTGATTTACTGCTCAAGAAACATTTATTATTATTATCAATGTTTAATACAGTTGTGCATTTATTTGAAATAGAAATCTTTTGTAATTTTAGAAATGTCTTTACTGTCATTTCGATCTATTTAATGCATCCTTGCTGAATAAAAATATTAAATTAGTTCTTTCAAAAAAAATTTACTGACCTCAAACTTTTGAACATGTCATCCTGTGGCTAATGCATAATTCATTTGCAAATAAGTAGATAATTCTGGTAGTCTAAACATGAGCCAGTTCTTTTTTTTAACAGTGTGGTTTTGGATGGTTGTCGGTTTGACTTTGATTGCAGAGCAGAACAAGTAGGCGTTGAGATTGAATCCAGTGACCCATAGCGGTGAATAATTCTCCTGTCTGGTGCCGCCAGTTGGCATTTGTCAACATGTTTAATTTAATAATAAAGTTTGGCTCTTAAAGATGTGAACTTTGACCTTAAGCTCTGGGAATGTGGCACAGGAGGATTTTGTGGCTGCAGGGAGACTTAATCTGAGATGAACAGTATCATGCTGTTTTCTCCACACATCACTGGGCTCTCCCTCCACTTTTCTCAAAACACAGACGGGTAAATGATTAGTCTGATGTGACGACAGTTTGATTGGCTTAGACTTGAGCTTGCCTGCTATCGGGAGGACAGCTAGGAACAATGTTTGGGGCCCTGTAATGCCTACTCATTAGGCTCAGTGGACAGGCCACCCATAAAGAGTTTGCCATGAGTTCTTGAGTTGTAGTGATGGCCTTGACTTCTGTCAGTCATTTTATAATGCGTAAGGGTGCAGACTTCATAGCCCACTGCTACCTAAGTCCCTCAGCCATTGACCCGCAGACTGGCTCTTTCCCATCCCAAGTTCCTTGCTTGTCTGACCAGTGCCCCAGAAGATCAATAAAAATTGCTGCCCCACTAACCTCAAGCCCACCAACTCATGAGTGAAATTCCAAGAAATCTTTCTCTCCCAAATTTGTTTTCCCTGATAGTCTCACTCACAGCTGTTTTTCTCTTTGTTAGCATTCTCAAGCCTTTTTTGGGTACACTTGCTCAGTAGTTGGCCTCTTCAAAGACTTCTTGCAAGACTCTTTTCCTCAGTTTTAATTGATTCTTGTTTTGTTCACATTTCAGGGCTTAAAAATGTCTTCTAGTAGCTGGCTGCATCTTCTTCTTATGCTCCTGTTTGGTCAAGGTAAGAAGAGGTAACTGAGTACTTGGCATTCTGAAACACTAAATTTTATTTTATCTTTGCAAAGTACAGAAATTTAATTCATATCTTTCTACATCTTTAATTGTGCAATTCTACTTTAGAAATGTGTTATGCTTAGTGACTTGAGATATATGTAAGAATATAGGAAATACAGTGGTCTGTCATGAAGGCCGATAGGTTCTAACGCAATGTGATATAATTGCATCATTATTCACAGGGTGCAACTTGATTGATTTATTTCGCATCAGATTCAAAATACTCCACTAGTGCTTGCTGTAGCAGTTGCAGCACGCTTCAGAAACCATCCACCTTCCCCAGCTCCACCTGTATAGATCTGCTACAGAGTAATTTAATCTGTTATATGTGGGGGTAATTTCATGTACTGTATGTTATATGAGCAGCAGCAGTATTTCTTACATGCTCACAGAAGCATGTCTGTGGATCTCTGCCACAGCAGCAACAGCAGCGTAGCAGATCTGTTCTGCCATGACCAAACACATTAACATTGCCATGTATATTTCCATGCTAAACACTCATAAGAGTTGTCATGACCGAAATAATTCATTATAGCCCTCAACTAGGAAATTCAGCCTGATGTTTGTTACTCAACAAGTACATTAATTTCAACAGCATTTGCCCTGTGAGGAATAGGTTTTATCAGACTAATAGATGTGAAGATGTTGTAATATGTTTTTGTTTATAATAATTATTTTTACATTGTTTTTATATTTTGTTGGCTGTCCTGCTGAGGCCTCAGCTAAACTCTTCTGTGACTGTATATATTTTGTTGGAGTGTGGAGTGTTTCTGAATTGAGATATCTACCCGTGTGTTCCTCAAGAATTTTCCCATTACGTTCCTGGACATATGCCATAAATCTGAGGAGGGATTTAGTCCTGCAGTCTGCTTAAATCAGGTGATAAAATGTCTCCTGGTTCCACAGTGCAGCCTGTCAGAGAGGATCACCGCAGGGTTTGAGGGGAGA